ACCACGACCACGACCACGACCACGACCACGACCACGACCACGACCACGACCACGACCACGACCACGACCACTACCACTACCACTACCACTACCACTACGACTACCACTACCACTACCACCACTACTACTACTACTACTACTACCACCACCTTTTTCTTTTTTCGAGAATAGAATCCCATGCCGCATGTCTTTTTTGTTGAGTGTCCTGTCGAAGCAAAAGCAGGATGACATCAGCCGCATTTCTTCTTCACGATGCAACAGCGACCATAGGGATTTCCAGACCATGTTCGATTTTGCCTGTTTTGATGACACAGAGAAGAAACTCTTTGATGACTCAGGCTGGTGCCAGGAAACATGTCAGAACATTGCTTCCTGCCGACACCACCCCAAGTGAACAAGGAACCCGTGCAGCATGCATGCCTTTGAGCTATGCTAAGGCAAAAACAATGCAATGACGCAACTAACCAACGCCACCAACCAATGCTGCCAAAGCCAATGCAAGCCAAAGAAACCTTCAGAACCCTTTGACCCCGGACGTTCCGCGCCCTTTTGGTCACCTGACCGGCACTGCCGAGGGGTCACGACGCGGACGACCTGGAGCCCTTCGCCTCGGTGCGGATGTCGATTGGACCAACCAAACGCTAAGGAGTATTAGATGGTCGAACCGGGTGTTGGTTGTTTCGTTCTTTGTAGTGTTGTAGTGTCTTGTAGGGCAGGTGTGGGAATTTCACATAATCATTCATGTCAGTGTTGTTTCGTGAATCGTTGATCTTCTTATTTTATTTCGATTCCTCCCTTGGTCCGGTTTTGGGAAGCGGTAGGTGGGGTGAGTCTCACCCAACCTCACCCAACCTCAGCTCCACTCCTCGGGGACGACTTGCCAGTTGCGGGGCCACACGGGGGCGGTGCTGTCCCTGGCCTTCCGGACGCAGGAGCGCTCGGGTGTCGGTGTTCGGTGTTCGGTCGGTGGTGCGGTGCGGTGCGGTGGGTGAAGAGGGCGTGGGCGATTGAATGGGATCAAGATGGATCAAGCAGAAAGGCACTTGAGATGCTTATTAAAGATTATTATAGCCCTTTTCCCATCCTTTGTGTGTTGATCTTCTTCGACCAACCACTTCAACCAATTTTGGACCTGGCCGGTGAACCAAGACGGGGGGGCCCACCTGGCTGAACGAAGCTGATCCCATCCAGCCACCTTTTTCCATTTCTTTGGGTTTTTCCCTGGACATGCCCAGGACCGGATTCTCTTCAGCGCTGGCCTGGCAGGAGCTCCCAGCTTCCGCACCCCTCCAGTCCTGCCGGGGGACAGTCGGAGTCGGCGCTGGGGGACTTCCCAAAATCCTACGGAGGTTGCGTTTTTCCACCGCGCTGGCCGTCGCTGGTTGGGCGGCGCTTTTGAGTTGCCTTGCTTCGTTCGCGTCAGGATTCCGCGGCCGCGGGGGCTGTGCGGCATCGGACGAGTTCGGCGGAAGTAGTGCGAACTCGTTGCGAGCTTGGAAGTGCGAACTTGTAGAAGGATGAAGAAAAGGTCCCTACCCAAGAAGAGAGCTCGGGCGCCTCCTTTGTCACACCGCTAGCCGGATGTGGGGCGCACCATGAGTCTGTTGAGTGCAGATAAGGCGTTTGAGGCCAACCCACTTGGCGCCAAGTGGATGACAGCAATGGGCTGCTTGTGCTTGCTGGGCGCCTTGTGTGCCGTGGCCTGGTCCTGGCGCAAGGGAGGCTGGTGCTTGCTGTCGCATGGTGTCAACACGAGTTGGACACAATAGAGGACAGCTCCCTGGGCCGTGAAAACGTGACCAAACCGTGCAACATGAATGCGAAGTGCCCCTGCGACGGGCGTGACCGCGGGCCGTCCGACTCGGAGCTCGCCCACATCGCCCACACGGCTGTGGAGGGTGCGGTCCTGCCGCTGGCTGTGGAGGGCGAGCAACTTCACGGAGATCCAGCAGAACAAGAGGAAGGTGCAGAGAAACACCATATCTTATCCCTAGACTTCCATTCAGACGTCCAAGAGTCCAAGACCATGTAAAAAAGTGGTGGACCTGGTTTTGTGGTTCGGTCAAGCCTATATGGTGGTTGGAAGCCTAGGGATTATATATAATGTAGCTTGACCCGACTGAACAGGAAAGCAGCTGTAGCAACAGGGCCTCTTCTTCCAAACCACGAACATGAGATAATAACACATAATAACCCCAGTTGCACCAATGACGTGTACCGCCCCGCCCCCACTCCACTCCTCCACTTTCTGTCGAGTGCACTTCCAAACCTCTTCCAAACCTCCTCCAAACCACCTTCTCCTTCCAGCAACCCCCCCACCTCCCACCCACCTCCCCCAGTGAAACCTACTAGCGATTCGGCCTCCTTCCCCTTCCGCGCCTCTCCAAGGATTCGATCCGCGCCTGGTCGCTCCCCGACGGCACACCCTGTGAGGGTCCGGCGGCCCAGCCAGTCTGCCATGCGCGGAGCCCGGGCGTCAGGTGTGGAGCCCTGCAGGCCGATCGGGTGTCTTAGGGGGGGGTGTGAAGAGGTTCCGGCGTTGTGATGGGCCGTCCGTGGGTGACATGGCTCCAGGAGCCAAAGTGTTGGGTGAACCCATGGGTGTTCGGATGGTTTTCCTTGGTGCAGACGATGTCGGGATCGAACTATAGGCGAGCATATGTGTGAAATGTAATGGATTCAGAGTGGATGGCACAATCTCAGAGGTGGTTCGCCCATCTAAAAGACAGCTTGGGGTGCAGTGTGCCCCAGTGCCATTGACTCTGAAACCTTTGTCCGCGCGGTTTGCTGATAGTTTGCAGCCTATGCTTCTATAGCTAGCGTGCAGCTACGTAGTGTCTCCAAAGACTACATGATACTGCATGGCTGACTCAAGTAGATGAGCTGAGAATATCTAAGAATATCTGGCATTCTCGACTTCCTCTCCAAGACTCGACCGGTGACCTGGTTTGGCATCCTGGTTTGGCACCAGATCTGGCCGAAGCCTCCCGCGTCCAAACTGGCCCTGCCCCCAGACTCGTTCGTCTCCCCCCCGAACGAACCCCTTCGCTCCGGAGCTCCGCTGCTCGCCCAGGGAGGGTCAGGGCTGTCCGGGCCGTCGCTGGGCGGTCTCCGGGTCTCCGGAAGTCTCGAAGCCTCGGCTCTTCGCCTTCGTCGGGGCGTCGCCGAGGCATGCAATTGATCGGCCACCAGGACCCGGCTGTCCGGACTGGGGACCGGTTCCGGGCCGTGAGGAACCAGGGCCCGTGACGTTGGTTGGGGGTTAACAGGCCGAACGCCTGTTTGGAGGATGGGCCAGAGGTTGTCTTGGGCGCCAGAGGTCTTTCTTCTTTTCAAGCGCACTCTCAGGATTGGTTTGCTGATGGATGACTGATGGGTACCCCTATCAGTCATCCATGAGCATTTCTATCGTCTTCCTCATATCTTCGGGCTACATGCTGCATTGGGGGCCAACGAGACAGGCATGTGTGTTTCCAAGCTGCCCACACGTAGTTATATAGTTGAAGCGAGATGACACCTATTTCAGGGTACATGTCTTAGTGGGGGCAACTCAAAAGCGGGAGAGAAGGGCAAGAGGGTGAACGTATGCCCTGCTGTCTGCTTGTGGGGCACGCTCTGACTCCACCTTCTCGCAGCATGCGACGCCGGTAACGCCTCGGTCTCCGTTGCCGCTCATCACTGGTGGGTTTTGTTTGGGCATTCTGAACCCAAAAGAACAGCGGGCGCCCCCAACAGGCTGCCCCATCCAGTTACGGCCTCCCACCCTGCCAGCGTTTTGGCCGGTTTGTTCACGCCCCTTGATCTCAATCCTCTCCCCACCGCCGCCGCGGGAGGGAAAGGTACATCTCTCCATCATTCTCCACTCAGCCAACAGGGGGTTGAAGAACCCGACTGTCCGACTCTCTCAGTTTTGGTACCACAGCAGGGTCCTTGGTCAGGTCACTTAACCTCTCCCAGTGCAGGTGTTTTTCCACCTTGCGGGCGGCGCCTCGGGCGGCGCCCGCGCCCGCGCCCGCTGCCACGGCGGGTGACACCGCCGCAGGACGCGGTGTGGTCTCTGCAGCATCACCTGCACCTGCCGTGCATGGCCTCGGCGGGCGCCGATGGGCAGCTGGCGCTCTGGAACACCGAACTGGAGCTCCGCACCGAGACGCAGACCCGCTTGCAGGTGCGGTCGCGTCCGCATCCGCGGTGGCGACGGTGGTGGTTGACTCGCGTGGTCGAAGAGCTTCGGGGGCGGACGGAAGCCGTTTCTTTGAACCTTTTCTTTTTGTGCCGGTTTTGGGGTGGGGAATTTCGGGTCAGAACAAAGGAGCTGTGAGGATCTTCTAGTGTAGACGTTGATTCATCCCCCCCCAGAAAACCAAAGCCTTCATGAAGAGGTCTTGCACTCCACATGTTCGGTCTCGTCGTGGCGGACGCTCGTGGCGACCTCCCAAGACCCGTCGTGGCGGGTCTCGTTCCTTTGGGGGGGAAGAGATCACCAACGATAAAGAGGTTCACCAGGATCGAAGAGAACTGCGGGTCAGAGACCCTCCTTGAAGTCATGCCAAGAGAGGTGGAACAGCCCTTTTTCTATCGTAGCATCCCATATGTACCACAGATCAGGGTCCGAACGTGAACAGGTCTCTCAACCTCTGATCTCTCATGGAGGTGGCAGGAGCATGGCAGGAGCGCAGGAGCATGGCAGGAGCATGGCAGGCCCCAGAGTTCACCATTTTGTTTTCGATCCAAAGACCCCATCCGATCGGATGTTTCTTCACTCCGCTTTCGATCGGGAGTGAATGGTTTTTCAGCGAACAGGCGGATGTAGAGCTTGAAAGCGTTTTTTCGCCACTCCTTCTCCATGTCATGATTGGACACAGGGCATGCGGGGCTTCTTTTTTCTTTTTTTTGCATTGTTTGCATCAGAGCAATTGTTTGGAGCTCCGCCAAGCAAATGGTGCGCGGTGGCAGCTGTTCTTGAGAATATGCCCTTGCTTTGCTCATGTTTTCTCAGATACGTCGTGTTGAGAAGTGTGCTTTTCCGACCTGCTTTGCGCAGCAGACGTCCACGCCCGGCGTCGACGTTGCCGACCGACATGCTGCCCCATCCCAATCCCGTGTGGGGTCGGCTTTTCCGGTCGTCGAGGCCAGCTTCGTCCTGAAGGATCCAGCCAAAGGCGCGCCCGGCTCGGCGAATCTTCGAGCCGAGGCATCGCCGGTGCCAGGGGCGGGTAGGGGTTGGGGGTGGCTTTATGCGACGCGGCCCTTGGAGGTTTGATGCGACGCTGTGTCACAAGACGGGGTGGCTTTTAGTCCCATCCAGTGAGTGGATGTGACAAGGGCACCCCTATCCTCCAAGTTCGGCACCCCTTTCTGAGTGCTGGAATATCAACATGTTTAAATGTGGCAATCTTGTAGCTCTATGAACTATTGGATGATTTGAGGATTCTTCGTTCACAGTGGCAATGATTGGCTGTGACCCAACGGTCAAGGTCCATGCGTCATCCGTTCCAATCGCACATACCGACATACCGTACCCAAGACACGTTCGACGGCCCAATGAAACCCCGAAACCGCCGGGTTTCGGGTGGATCTCCGCTTTTTGGTGCCATACACAAGGCCTGGTCAAAGCTGGTTGACTACCTTGGTGGACTAACACAAATCGTGACAGACTTCTGCACCAGACTTCCACGAAAAAGCCGAATCGAACGAACGGGCCACAAAAAGCGGATGTGTTGGACGAGCTCTCAAAGAGCTGTTTGAGGGAGAAGCTCACTCTTTTTCCATTATAGTCACTTCACACAGAATGGATCAGCCAACCACAGAGAGAGCTTCGTTTTGTGTGCTTTTCCGGTGGTAATTCACACCCAAAACACCGAAACGCTTGAGGCATGTGTGCTACTCTGTTTTGCTCCGCCGAAAGCCATGCACGGTGGAGGAGACAGCTTGGATGTGCCGACTTGCAGCTGCTGGGTCCGGTGCTCAGGGGCAATGCAAGCGCAGTGTGTGGTTGGACCAACAGGTGTGACGCTTGTGGCATGCCAAGGCATGCACCACGCGACTGCATGGCAGCTTGCCAGAAAATGATTGGCAGCTTTAAAGAATGTATTTGCATGGGCTCAAGCGTTTTGCTTTGCACGTGGAGTTTCCTGGTTGTCAGACATTGGAAACGATGAAGCTGCAGATGTTGGCAGGGTTTGCCCTGGCACTCACGTGTCTCGGAACGGTGCAGGGTGATGAAGTACAACAGCCCGTCCAGCAGCTACGGGGTCAAGGAAGACCAGCTCCTGCTGCGGGAGCAGACGCCCAGAAGGAAGTGGACGAAGCCAAGGAAACGCCCAAAGCCGAGACGCCTGCTGCAGTGGAAGCGAAGGATGCACCCTCAAAGCTGTCCAGAAACGGTGAAGTTCCAGCCAAGCCGAAGTCCGAGGCCACTCCAAGCAGTGTCAGTGGAGCTCTGAAGCTGAAGTCTTCGTGGGGCCCTCCTGGAGGGCATCCTGGCGGACCTCATGGTGGTCCTCATGGTGGTCCTCATGGTGGTCCTC